TTATTTTTAACAATAGAAACATTGTTGGTAAAAGTGTATAAATCAAGATGAAGAATGAAGAATACTTGGATGATGATAAGTCTTAATAACTTGTTGGTAGGTACCTAAGTATTATGTTTAATGTTTAAAAAAAAAAATTGTGAACTTTTTGAACAGACTTGTGCAAACAGTATTACAGGCAAACACGGGTAAAATATTTTTATAACTAAAAATATAATGATTGGAATAAATACTTGACTTATGAAAATAATATTATGATTATGTATTCGAATTTATTATGATGTATAAAATATACGAATATACCTACCAATTACCAGTGGACAGAGATGTTTTTACAAGGATTCACCACTGTAACTAGTGTGACCTAAAAATAATGAAGTAATTTATTGTGATCGCACTAGAAATTTGATGGTTCATATTGATATATAAATATAATATTTATGTATTTAAATAACATTATATAGCTATAGCTCGACTGTCAAAATTCGTGAATAAGTAATACGATTACTTATAATTTATATGTAACTGGATTCTGTAATTTGATTAGAAGTTATAATGAATTATACCAGTGCTATCTGATAGATTAACACGTCATTGATATCATAATAATTCATAGCCAAACAAGAGAATACCTCCATAATTATTGTAAATTAAAATTTTCAATTTCTACACGAATACAATTTAAGCGTATAGTTACTAATTATTTTAAGAAAATTTTAATTTTTAAAAAAATATTTTCACATCAATTATTGTAATTAAAAAATAATAATAAAATAAATAGTATTTTATAGAATATATAATTTTGATCATCATAATTTTTAAATTTTAACTTTTTAAACAAATATTAAAATTTTTTTTTATTTTCATTTTAAAAATATTTTTTTGAGTACTTTAGTTTTTGCAGATCCATAAAAATCAAACGTCGAACGAATATAATTAATTTGTTATAGCTGTTAAAAGTATTTAAAGTTTATAGATAAGTGGAATAGTGGATTAATATTTTCTATCATCCCTGCAGTGACTAGAAAGTATTGAAATTTTTTTTATTTTATAATATTTTTATAACAATTTATTTTGATTTAAATTTAGTTTTTCAAAAATATTAAATGATAGTGTAATCATTTTATTTATCAAAAAAAAAAAAATAAATAATTCAACTAATAATTATTTTAAACATAGATTAAAACTTTTAAATACACGTTTAAAACTTTCTGTTTAAAATATTTTTCTAATCCTAACTGTCTATGGCAAATATGCCACTTTACTCTATAGCAAAGGTTATTTACTTAAGGTTTATTTTTTTTTTAGCAAATTACGATGAATATTTATAAATTATAGTATTTTATATATACAATAGTGCAATATATATATATATAACTTATTAAAAATTAAAATATCATAAAAAAACTAATGAACAAACATATTTTTGCCATCAAGTATATTAACAGATCAATTTACGTAAATATTAAAGTTAAAAAAAAATAATACTAGTTCTGCTGAACGCAAGTTTGCTATGTTCAATTTATATTTGTAAAATAGAGACGATGGAGTCAATGAATGGCAACCCTTTCATGTTGTTCATAAGTAAAATATTAATAACAAAGGCACTACTTTTACAAGGTAATAATATTTACCTATATGTATATAAATAATAAAAGGATAGATGCAAAATATCTTTTATTTACCACTATTATTGAATTTAAAATTCTTAAAAATTAAATGATTTAAAAACATTTAAATCATAATTATTCTTGCATATTTTCATGAAACATAATTTTTTACTTAGAACTTAATTTATATATTGAGGCTATACAAGCTATTACAATAAATTGGATGGTAAAAAATACACCGAAGACATAAATACAAGTTGTACTACATCTGAGGACCTAGTTTTACTACTCGATATTTATTATAGTGATTACTTTAGTCATTACCAATACTTTAATGAAAAAATGCATAAGAAAATTATCTAGGATAATGATTATATGAACTAAAATAATATGTGGTAAATTTTAGATTAGATAATTTGAAAATCTACAATTTAATATGATTTAATGATCTGTTTTAGATACTATCTCCTGACTCCTAATACGTAAATTGGGTCTTCTCGTATTTATTTTATTTTAATAGTAAGTATGTTACATTGTTACGTAATGGTAAATTAGTAACTATACATACGACGTTGTTTACCTCAGAATATCTATAAGACAATAATATATACATATCAGTAACAACTCATTTGGTAGTTAAGTACCAAATGAGGGAAGAAGAGCATGAGAGGATTTTGAAGTGAAATTTGAAAAAAAAAACTTGATTAGATATAATGAGTTTAATTTAAAATAAAATGTATATTATTAAACCGATGACCTATAATAGCAATAAAACGCATAGAGCTATTATGATAATGTAAGACTACTTTAACAAACATATTTAATGCAGTCTGAAAGATTATTACTTATAAATTTATCAAAAATAGTTAGGATTGTTAAGAATACTGGGGATCTATTTCCTAGTTAGTTATAAAATAAAATAGGTTTATTGATGATATATTATTGGGACTTGGGAGTAAGTGCCGAATAGCCGAGTATGGAACTCTATCTCCTTGATAATATAGAACAAATTTATAAGATGATACACACGACATGCATTTATGATAGGGAGGTATATTATCCATTAGATAAAACTGATAAATGTTACCATTATAAGGGTTAAAGGATCAATAACATACATGATTAACATCACAAGACCTTAGGAAATTAAAAATTTAATGCCATTTATATTCTAAAAATGAATGAAAATATACTTTTTTGAATGACAGCATTTATTTTAGACATCTCAAAAAGATTTTTGAAATTTTAAGACTCGATAATATTTTTACCTTTAGATTTGATAATAGAACAATTTATTCTAATATTAAAAATAACAGGGTAAAAATTTGATATGTTATTTATAATAAGATACAGCCAACACAGGTGGATATAACGTCCTCTTAATAATTATTATTTATTGATCAAAATTAACCATTGATCGTATATTGATATATAAGGTTTAAATTTAAAACTATTAATAAATATTTTATAATATATACATGTTACTTCTTAAATAATATTATGTCACTTAATATTTTTTGGAACTGAACAATTGGTGATTGGAGCAGACTTAACTAAATTTATACTGACTTCTTAAAACAGTTAACTTCTTTTTGCATCAATACACCAAATGATATGACTGAAGCAAATTTGAATACCAGAGTGTATGAATAGTTTATTTATTACAAATAAAATAATAATTGTATAGAACATTCATTTTATAAATATAATCTTACATTAGTTGTTTTATCTAATAAATTCTCAAAAACCAGATCTATTTTTGAAAATATTTCATCTTGTACTATGAGATTTAGATTTTAATACTGTGCCTTTCCAGCTGTAGCATATATATTTTTTTTTTTTAACTTTCTTGTGTGCTTTAACTTTTATATTATAAAGTCAAAGTTCTTCAAAATATGGTTTTGTACATTAAATATGATAACAGGGAATATTTGAAGGTGAAGCACCTATAATTATCATGGTAACTAACATATTGAATTCTGATTCAATTATGTATTTTGATTTCAAAAATATGCAAAAATAAATTGTTTCAATATAAAAAAAAAAAAAAAAAAAAAATACCAAGTATATTTTTTTAAAAATTATTATAAAAGTACATATTTAAATAATAAAATAAATACTATTTAAATCTCTTTTAAAAATATATTTATCAATTTACTAAAATATGAAATTAATGTTAGTAAAAACAAAAAATAATATTTAACATTAGATAAGCCTTTGTTGATGCTAATGGCACAATCAAGGGGGAAGGAGGTCTGAGTCTAAGCCTCCCTTGAGTATTTCTAAAGTGGAAAATTAAAAATAGTAAAGTAAATAATTATTGTGGTAGATTTAAATAATATTATGATATATAACACAAATCAAATATTAATTATTATTTACAATTCTATAATAATCAACTCAAAAACAAAAATTCTGAGTGTTACTGCTGGTTGACTTCTCTCCTCACGTCTCTATGTCCTTATAGTTGTATATTATATTATTAGTATAGTTTACTATTATTTTTATTTTTTCATACATATGCTCATTGTAAGTATTTTCACAGATTGTATATAATCAAATAAATGTTTAAAAAAAAATAAATAAAACATAAAGGTAACCAACTATAATACCATTGGTGGATATCTCCCTTAAAACAATCTTGGTTGCATCACTGGTTGATGCACATTTATTATGTAATTACTAATTGGTATGTATCATAAAAGACAAAAGAAAAGAACAATATTATTAAAAATATTATATGATAAATATTAAATAAAAAATATGCAATAAAAATTTTTGAATAAAAGTAAATCAAAATTTATAAACTGTAGATATTACTTAGTCAGTTATGAAATGTAAAATATAAATTAAAACTGAAATGTTGACTTGAAAGAATTATATTGATTTAAATAATAAAGTAAATATTTAATAATAAATTCTAAATTGTATTAATAAACTTGTAATAACATGTAATATGTTGACACACTTTAAATATAATAAATGAAAAAAAAAAAAAAAATAAAGTAAATAACAATCTACAATGACAATGAGTGCAAATTAAGAGTTAAAGAATGATAATGATTGAAATTTATATAACAGACATAAATTTATTTTTACTAATTAAGAGGTATTTTGGTATTTTTTTATTTTATAGTGTTAAATTTTAATAGTCTTAAAATCTTGTTAAAAACATTTAAAAAGAAAAAAAATTATAAGTAAACATGATTTAACAGAAATAATTGAAAAATATTATTAAATAACTATGTTTTTATGTAATAACTTTTGTTGTTATTAATATTATCATTTTTTTTTCAGCAATAATACAATAATTTAATTTCAAAAATACTGATTAAAATAAAAGTTATCACGTAATTAGTTAATTACTTAAATTATAAAAAAAAATTTATGTTATTTATTACAAAATAATGTTTCTATATGATGACAAAATCCACGAACACAATTTTGTTCTATCCGTTTTATAACAAAGTTATAAATCCACATGATAATGAATATAAGTAATGTAATAAAAACAATAGTATTAGTATATGAAACTGGTTGCAAATACATACTTAATATTATACAAATGATTACAAATATAGAATGCCATAATGATATTAGTGGGTTTATTACTGCTTTTTCATTGCAAATGTTCAAAGAAGTATTTATAACGTTCAGAAATTCTTTTTCAAGTATTAAACCTAAAAATATAAATAACATAATAAACATAAGAAATATAAAAAAATTTCTTACCTGTATCAATTGTAGTATTATTTTCAACATTCAATGAATTTGTTGATATATCAAATACTGCTTCTATTGGTTCATGATCCGAATAACTAAAATCTTTTTCTGGAACGCGATGTGGTAATGAATGTCTATGTTCATTTACAACTACCTAAATATTTCGTATAAATTTCTGTTAATCAAATCTATAACTATATTTTTTAAATTGTAGAATTTTATTGTATCTGTATCATTATGAATACAGCTAAATTGTTAAATAATATATATATATATATATATAAAATACTGCATTATGTTATATTATAATATAAGATTGATCAATTTAAATATTTTTTTATATTTTAATGATATTAAAACTTAAATTCTGTAAACATACTTGCATATCAGTTAATTACACAATTTATTTGTTATACAGGAATATTGAACATTTTAATTTTTAATACTATGTTAATCTTTAATCTTATAATATTAATGGATACAACCTGATAAAAAATAAAAAATAAACTTACTAAATTCTTTTTATTAAATTTGTACAGTATATAATCGATACGATCATTTACTTCATTCACATCTTTGTATGAATTTTTAGGATGAGAGTAAGTGTATTCAATACTATTGTTTAAACACTGAAACATAATATAATATTATTATTTATTAATAAAAATTAATAAGTTACACTTTATAACAACTAGAACCAGGACTCAGATTATTAAACATTTACTAATTATTATAGAATATTAATAAAAAAAACAAAATGAGCTATAAATTTTCATTTTTACAAGGGACTCCAATATAAAATTTAATACTGCTATTTTTTTGTATATTTGAAGTATTTTTGGCATTTTACCAACACATACAACTAATAACTATGATTTAATAAACAAAATGTTTCTGTAACTAAGTTTTTGTATTATATAAAATATATATAACTGAAAATAATCGAGATGTTCATAAGTTTACTATTGTCTGTAATTATAAATTTATTTTTAATACTATTATGTCATAATAATTTAATGTTGAATCTATAAATAAATATATTTTTTTTTTTAATTACCGCAGAATATGAGTCGATCAAGTTTGCACCTAAACATATTAACTTATAACAAATTTCATTAGGATTAGAATTCAGATCACCAGCTAATACTGCTAAATCAGAACCAGCAGATGTAACACGTATGAAATTTGCAGTTTCATAAGCTTGTAATACTCTGTGATTTGTGTATTTATCGTTTGATGCATTATAACAAGCATGTAACTGAAAATAAGACAAAGTTTAATTATAAAAATACATTTATGCATTTAAGTACCAATTATAGTATGCCAAACACTTTTCAAAGTTGAAACAAATTATATGCAATTCAATCATAAACAGTTTTATGAACTAGAATGTACACTATAAGGAGTAAAATTCAAATGAAACTATGTTTGGCAAAAAGTATTATAAATTAAAATTGATAAATTCAACTAAAAATTATTCTAAATAAATGCTTTAAAAAAAGCCTTTGGCATACTACTATGTACAAACTAGGTACCTATGAAGGTTATTGAAGTAAATAAATTATAAAATATTTATTATTTGTCATTAAATAATCATAAATATTATACTTTATTACATAATAATTAAAAAAAATATAAATTACATGTGTAGTGTATACATCTACAATAAAGCCTTTGACATTGATACGACATAAGCCAATGCCTTTTCCACCGAACCAATCTCCATGCCAAAACATATGTAAATAACCATTCAAAATAAATGAGTGATAATGGACATCAATTATTGGATAACGTGACATGATACACATTCCAGATCCTAACAAGCCACTTAAAAAGATAATAAAAAAAAAAAAAAAGATTTTTAGTGTGCTTTTATTTGTAAAATATTATAGCACAACTATAGTATATTATTACTAATAATAAATCATAAAAATTATTAAGAAATTTTAATTAAAAAATCTTTCTAGATTATGAAGAAAATAACAAAAGGAGATTATGATTAAATATTTGGTAAGAATAGAAATAATTTATGAATTGCTAAAAAAGGGCAGTTATAATTCATATGAAAGAGGTTTTACATAGATTTTCTATAAGTTAAAGGACTGAGAAAAAATAGATAATTTTATGGCAAAAGATTATGGCTTAACCATAATGTTATAAATAACAATAGGTAGTAAGTCAAGGAAAGAACTATAGATGAAAATCGAAAGATAAAATTTAATCCAAACATTTAAAAAATATAAACTCATAATGTTACAATTTAAAATATTTATTATTATTTTTTTTTTTTAGACTTTAGTAATAGGAAAATGTTAGTTTGTGACTGATATACCCAAATGGAGGTAGGTTAACTAATCAGTTGAAAATTACATTTATGAATACATAGGTATCCATCATAATTAACTTTTATATCATAATTTATGATAATAATTACTATTTATTTTAATTTTATAAGATCCACAAAAACAAAAAAAAAAACTAATATAGTAATATATAATAATAGTTTGTTAAAGTATTTTATCTAACATAATACCTGTGAAAATAATGTATATATTTAAATACACTATCACAAGATGCCTTTAAATATTTGTAATCATCTTCACACCATAATTCCTGTAGACACACAATATCATATCCATTGTTTGTTAAACTGTCAGCTAATGCGATTACTCGAGCTTTACGATCTTTGGATGCAAATTTCAAACCCCTAAAATTATATTCGTCTCACATAAAAATAAAATAATAGTAATCTGTAAGCAACATAACAAAAATCAAAATAGCAAATTGAAAATACCATATATTTAAGGTAAAAATACTGAGCTTCATGATGATAAGTACTTGGTATTTTTAGTAGTTCGGATAAATAAGATAATTAATGAATATTTAATAAACGCTTAAATTACTTAAAAGTAATTAAATAAAACTTAAATTTACAGTTAATTTCAGACTTATAATGTTAATTAAATTTGGTAGAGTGAGTAATTAAACTAAATGGAAATCAAAAATGATGTTAATAGTTCTAAAACACAGAAAAAAAATAATAATTCTGGAATATAGAAAAGAATTAACAATTAATAACAATAATAACTAATGCCAAACATCATGTACAACGATAAAAGAGTACAAAACACTTATGGTGATAACTGTCGAACAGAGCACTTATCAGTCAAGGTTTATTTAAGCTTAGTACGTGCTTTAAACTTTGCTTATCAGCTACCTCTAAATGTTACTTGTGGTTGTTCCACAGATTTATAAATTAAATATTATGTAAATATGTCCGTGGCTTGTGAATTATTCACAATCCTTATCACACAAATTTATAGTAGGCTCCCATGTAGTATTTGATAATAGTCCACGGTAAATTGGAATCAGCTGGCTGGGAATCACCTCACGAACAAAGTAACCAGTTAAACCAATCGCGAGGTTTTTGTAGTTGGCAACTATTTTATCGTTTAGTAAGAAAGTTGTATCAATGTATTATATATCATGATTTATCGTGCCACGTTGATTGTCAATGTCTTGTCATAGATTATAGACCACAAACATTAATATATAATATTATGTATTATAATAATGTCAAATGTCCTAAACATAATAGATTCAATTATTTTTTTTATTGTAATTAAAAAAAATATAACTATAAACTTGAATTTTTCTCCAGACATTTGTAATTGAATTTTCTTCTTTTTTCTGACTTAGGGATGATAACATTTATGTACAGTAATTTAAACTTCAAATGCACATAAAAAAAATTGTGTCTATATATTTGTATTTTGTAAACAGATATTTTTTATATGTATTTAAAGGAAGAAAATTGAAAATTGTATAATGCGTAGATAACATAAACATTTAGTAAAAATTGCAAGAAACTAATTTTATTTATTTTTGAATTGTTAAAAAAAAAAAATGATTATGTTGAACATTATTGGGGATTTTAATTGTTGACCTCCTAATGAACAAACTAGATACATTTTGCTACAAGTAACTACTCTCAAAATTAAAAATCAAATAATTTTTACTGCTTTGAAAGGTAATGACAGAAAAAAAACATTGTAAAATTAGTAATTTAAAATATTGTTAAGTTAAAATAGTTAAAATATGAGTATAAACAGAGGCCCCAAGTGTCTAATGTCTAGAGATTTAATGGATATTTAATCTGGGCTTGAGTACACTTTTAAATAATTGAGCTATCCCAGGTTTTTTTTTAAGCACTAAGAAAATATAAAAATTTAGTATTTAATACATTTGGAACATTTTAATTTGTTTCTATGAAACATAAACAATATTATGATTTATCGATTCTTGTAAATATATTAAAATATTAATTTAACAAAATAACAATAAAATAAGACTTAAATTAAAAATAAAACAGCTATAATAAAATCAATCGATTCACACACTCAAATACTAAATACATTTCTATACATTTCTGTACATATTCTCTCCTTGTTATTGCATATGATAAAAGTAATATATATTTATATAATATTATAATGTATAATAATTAATAATAGTATTTTCCACTCAACTAACACACATCACCAATATAACTGCATTGTTTGTCATGGTAGACAAAAAACAAAACAAATCATTTATTCCAACTTATCTTAAATGTGCGTATTTAATGACATTTTATAATGTTTAAAGTTTAGGTATATATATATTTTTTTTTTTTTGTTATATAAAAATAATATTAGATGTTTAATGTCAGTGCAGTATACTTTGTCAGTCAAGTGGGAAACTTCAATTAAAATTTTAAATTCTTAAATCTATGTGATTATAATGATTATCTGTGGAATAATGGAAGGGAATTTTAGATTGAGCGAGCTCAAAATTCTTGTAGAATGTATCATCAAAATATTATATCATCACTGGGCTCCCATTGATGGAGGAGGTGGCGATGGTGGATCCTGAAAATAAAAATATTTTTATTGATATTTGAAACATTAATAATATTTTTATTAGAACGCCACACTCCATGTGTTGTCTTCATCTTACATAATGTAGCAAATTTGTAGAATCTATTTTATGTTGTTAGCTTAATATAATACTATTTTAATACTAATAAAAGCCTAAGTGATGACCTAGATAATATTCTAATCTTTAAAATTGATAATATATAAATTTACTCCAATATTAAAGCTAATAACATAAAATAGATTCCGCTGAACACAAATTTGCTGTTACATAAATGTAAGATGAACTAACAGATGCAAATGTGACATCTTATTGAGTTATAATATAGTTCATACATCTGGTCCATTATTGTCAGATCTACCAAATGGTAATTTTTTAATAGTTTCCTCCTGAGCACGAGGCTGATGAGGACGCATAAAATACAAAGCCAAAGCAATAACAACCCAAATTCCAGTTAATAAGACGAAATTAGTATCTTCAGAATTTGATGACAATGGTCCATCCAATCTTTGCACTATAAAAATTAAATTGTATTTTACAATTCAAATTTAGTTACATTACATAGTTAAATCATAGAATATTAATAAACACAATAAATATTAGGTATACTCATATAGGTGTACTAAATTACTATATATTATATATAATACATAATAATTTTAAAGTAATTAAATAAGTTTGTGCAAGAATGCCAATTACTAAAAAATACTTAAATTTATTCATATAAAAATTTGTTGATTTAATTTAAAACAATACATAATACATAAAATTAACATTTTGTTGTTATAAAAAAAAAATGTATGAAAATACATTTTAAGAATAAAATATATATTTCTCAATGAGAAATTATTAAGATTAAAAACTTAAGACATTTTTTATTGAAAAGAACTGAAATTTCTTATGTTGTAAAAATAAAAATTTTCAATAAACCATTATTAACTTAGGTTCTAAATTTACCTGGTTCCAAGCAATCAATATCTGTGCATGCCGACTGTGACTGACGTAGCTACAACAATTTTTTTTTATTACTTGAGTACATGGATATTTTTTAATTTATACTTAGGTACCTACATTAAAATAAATTAAAAATGTATATATCTACATTATAAAAGTATATTCAAAATTGAATAATCAAGAAATGGTTCATTTTTATTAAAAGGTTAACAATAAACATTATTTTATGTGATTTAAAACTAGCATTTTTAATTTATAAACTTATACAAGTAAAATATTAAAAATATTAATTCAGTCTTCATTTGGTCATAATTATCTCGATAATTATTAAGTTTATTTATAAATGTTTATAAGTTGAGATATTCTATTGCTCTGCTCATAGTATATATTTTACAATAACAGCAGATATTTGTAAAATTTTAAATCTCAATTTTCCAATAAAATTATAAAAATGTTTTAAATAATTTATCAGTGTCAGACTATATTATGATCTTTATATATAACACTGTGGACAAAAGTATCTTGAAAAATTGTATTTATTAATCATGAATTAAATTAAACTTTTCAGTTGTGACCTCGATAATCATAGTTAATTAGGTACTTATTTATATTTAGTAATATTTAAGACAAATGTATTTAATTTTTAATTTTACAAGAATATTTTTAACACTTCATACTACTTACACAAAAGGATTTTTTTTTTAAATAACCAAGTTTTTACGTGTACTTAAATTCAAATACTTATATAGAATATAAATTAATAAAAACATTATATTATATCATAGTATAATAATATTAAATATTAGTTGGGTTTTATAGATAAATAGCATTATAGCAATGAGGTATTTTAATCGAAATTGATATAATTAATACTGTAATATTAAGTAATAGCTTATTTAATGGTAAAAATAAGATAAATCAAAAATAAATGAACTAGATAGGTATTAGGTTTATGTTATCAGTCAATGTTTATTTATTATAATATAAACACTTAAACAAATCAAGTTATAAATATTGTTTTTAAATTACATAATTACATTGTTTACTTACCAGTGAAAGCAGTCGTTGCATAGATAGCTCATGATTCCAAAAACATTCACACGGATCGTTATCGCTCATAGTAAAAAGTCAAACTTCAAAACCAATGTACTCTACAACAATAATGAAATCATATTAAAGAAATATTAGTTACCCTTGTCATTCGCTGCGATGTTCCCAATTTACTAAATTAACTGACACCACAGGTCGCAAACTAGGTATGTGAGCAATGTAATACGCGTATATTATAGGTACTTGACGTTACGTGTTACCTTTTTGTATTGAAATAATCCGAATTATTGTTATTAGAGTAACGGCTGTGAACACTAAACCAATAGGTACGTAATAATTCCGTGTTTAATATTATGTTTAACGGATTTCAATAATGAATTGCACATAGGAATATTTAACAGTGACACGACAGATTGGACTTATCACTAAAATACTAAATAATAGTTAATAATATAGTAATTAATAGAGAACACCACTGAACAAAGCCCGAATGTAAACACGGCTTATGATGTAAAAAACTATAGCATAACACCAACAAATAACAATATTTTATTATAATAAAGAATGCTACAATTTGTTGCCAGTTGTGACAAAGATAACAATCATAATAATATTATCTTCAAAACCTGGCGAACTTTGTCACGACCAGCTGATAAAACATCGTTTGCATAATACGACGTAAACATTGTAGGCGAAATCGTATCTATCTGGCATAATGTCAATAAATATGAAATAAGTAATTACGATACATCGAAAAAACATAAAACTTCATACGTGTACATCGTTCGTTTGTTATTATTGTTTATTAATTCTGGAAGGGTGGGGGCATTGTGTTCTATATTTGAGACATATTTAGGTGCACCTACTGCACCTATGTTATACCTATTGACTATTAAATTTCTAGATCGCGTTTTCTGACTAATTTAAAATCGACTTAATTGTAATTACGCGCGATCTGGCTTACGTCTACATAAGCATTTTTTGCACATTTTTTTTTTTCAAAAATTAAATCAACTTACCGCAATACTAAATAATTATTACTAGTAAAATAAATTTCACTGACAGACTCTTCGTCCAGAATCGTTTTTCGTGTACCTACGCAATGATTTATTATACAATTTAAATTTAACATAATCGTTATATTTTACAGCGACTTACTCAGTAAAGTTTGACGCTATAGTATGCTTAAAACCTAAACTGTGCAACAAAGTGAACACTTTGAAATTTCCTCCATCTTAAATGTAAAATAAATATATTTTTGTTTTGGTTCATTGATTAATGATTTACATAACTTTGAATAATTTATTTATCAAATTTAATAAAATAAATTGTATATACCACATTTTAAATATTCATAAGCTTAGAAGGAATTTGAAAGTATAAACCTTGGCCATAAGATAGCCATAAGATATTTATGAAGATCAAAATGTTTGTTTTATTATGTATATATACATCATTCGCGGTCACATGCCAGTTTAATATAATGTGTTCGTATTTATATAAAAAAATAATAGTAATAGTAATATAAGTACCTACATTGTACATACTAATTACCTACGCATCTATATAATTGTACTTATGTAAATACTGACTACAGTTACAGACAATCAGCTAGATAGTAGCGTAGTTATGATTTTACTCTGGGGGGGGGACATAATATATAATTTATTGGATAAATATATAGTGGGGGGCTTAAAACTATGCTCTTATAAGTTATAGCTTTATATTTATTATTATATCCATAATTATAAAATAATATGAGAATTTTATAATCTTATATTGAGTATAAGGTAATGCATAAACATTAAAAAAAAGGTTCTATGGGGGGGGGGGATCTATCACCATAATCAACTCCCACCCCCAATAACTACGCCACTTCGGCTAGGTGCCTAGGTATAAGTTACTTACGACTTATCAAATGGTGAACACTATAATAGGTACATCGTACATCATTATATTTTATTGAATACACTCATATGTCTCATAAGTTAAGATTGTTAGGTTATAAAAAAATCTTTATACGGCAATGATTTAAAGGTGTTACGAAGGGTATATACATATTAAAATTACAGTATAAGTTCACACTTTTAAGTGTAATTAAGATTGGTGAGGAAGGGGGGGATAAGAATAAAGTTTTTGTAATTCTTAATATTATTATAAAAAAAATAATATTGTTTGTAATGTGTAATTGCATTATTCCATAAATATTATGTAATTTTTTATTATTAACTTTTTTGTTTAACGTGCTACGTTACATTAATAATACGAATGTTATACCTTATTAGATTATGAGTTGTGATTTGTACATATAGGTCATAGACACTTTCATAGACATTGGGCATTGAAATGATACCACAGATGGTATAACAAAATTTTCTTTTATACCAACTGAGTATATATTATATTTATTATTCAAATATATTCTCGTATACACAACACAAGTGAAAAAATACGAGAACACAATCTTGTTAATATACGTGTTATACTGCTTTCGAAAGCGCTATTTACAAAGTAGTTAAAGTATTTAAATTTGAAATTTTTCAAAAGAACGGCGCTTTTTTAGTATTTATGATTATAATATGATACATCTATTAATATTCAGGATATTTATTGATATAATGATAAAGTGTCAAGTGCGTGTATTTTTCACGTATCATTGTATCGATAGATGGTTCTAGTGTCTTATAACACTTATATACTGTAGAAACAATTAAATGAACTATTCCTAGTAATAGTAATAATCTAAAAACTTCACAAAAATACAAATTACTAAAATATACTTAATTTATTAAATTAATTAGTTGGCAGTTAATTAATGGCAAGTTAATAGCAACTAAACAAAAAAATCATATTTTTTTTTTGTTTTTAAAATATTTAGTATACAATGTAGAATTGTAGAAATATATTCTTTTTACAATAATTATAAAGATGTATAAGGGTGATAGTAAGTAGTCTTGATAGAAAAATCCATCCAATGATAAGATTTCATGGTAATGAATATGCAATGGTTTTTAGTCATATTTTAAAAGTTCTCGGCACCATTTATGTTTAAAGTTTAAACAGTCACCAGGGATGTTAGGAAAAGTAACAAAAGATAAACTTGAGATTAGAAGATTACGATGGTTGGATAGGTTTTAGTAAAAGCATTTATAGAGAGTTTTGATTTTACATGTTGCACAGTTGAAATAGACTGATAATAATGGAACGTATTGTTTGAGACATAGAAGGAAGCTTTGATTATTTGTTTGATGCATTTGAATTGAAATATTCGGATTTTGTTTAAATTTGATGACTTGGTTTAAATATTAGTTTCAATAGAAGTTTATGTATGAGTATTTTATAATGTTGAGATTCATGTGTTTAGATGTTAGAAATATAAAATAAAAATTGAAGTTAATAATTATTTCTAACAATAACCTTTTAAAATTAATTCTTATTAAAATAATTAATATGCATCAATATTTTTTAATGTATTTTCACATTAAAAATACATTATTTATTTATATGTTTGAAATTATTAAAATAACAATTTTTATTTTTTTTTTTTTTTTTTGTGAGAATACGATATAATCACTTAAGTATCTATTTAAATATTTTTGACATATTATTTAAATGTAAAATATATTTAGGAAATTAATTTTAATGTTATTTTGTTAATAGGCTTGTTTTGTTCAATCAAAGAAAAATAATTATAGATTGTTAATTTTAAAATCTATCATCATTCATTTTTTTTTTTGCAATTCGAAATTCGAGTGAAATTATTTTTATAATGCGTTACATTTAGGTTTTACAGTATGAGCTTTTTAATTTTTTGTTATTTAAATCTATTTCCGGAGCAGTACTACCTACATTATCGGTGGAGCTGATGAAGGGTCGCGTGGGGTGCGACATTCACCTTATGATTGCAATATTTGACTTTCAAAAGGCAGTTGACACATAAACCCTCAGTAAATTTGTTTGATAAAAAAATTCGGAATTTTTAAATCTAGTCGTCAATTATAAAAACTACCCTCCTATGAATATTCTTAAGATCATCTTTTTCTAAATTCTACGTAGTTACGTAACCAAACGTATTTACTATTTTTTAGTTTACATTACATCATCACAAGTGCACATGTAAATGCGTCACTGACCTATTTTAATAATTAAAAATTGTATTTAAAATGGTAATTTTTTATTTTTTCTTCTAAAAATGCAGATTATTAATAGGTAAATGTTGAACAAACCTAAAATTTTGAGCGTTTTTATTCGTTTTTTGGATGCAATTATTTACCAAAAACTATTGTCTATTGAGAATATAATTAAGATATTTAAGTAATTTGTTATAACATTTGTGTAGGTTATGTGTAGGCTGATTTATGTTAAGTTGGCTATTATGATACATTTTATAACACGTAGGAACCTAATTAACTAACTTAAAATTTTATTGAAAGGTTATCATTTTGTTTTATTAAGCATAATTATTTGAAATTTTGAAATTAAAATATTTAATTACCAAATTGTGGTTATTTTTAAGTAGGTATAAAGGAATCTAAGAATCTACCTTAGTGGTTATATATATTAATGTATATAAACATATAGGTATTAGACATATATAGTTAATAGGTATTTTATTAAGTCATTACCTATATAGAAGACATATTATGATTATGAGTTATTAATTATTAGTTGTATTGTTATAACACTATTGCCGCTTAAGATATTTAAAATTATTTTATTAATATTTTATCATTTTCAGTATTTGATATAATATACTATTATATTATACATTTATAATTTTATACTTCAGTTATAAAAACATAAAATATTTTCATTATAAAGCTTATTGAACTAAAATAATTTTAGATATCTATTATTTCATAGTAAACTTTTAGATTTCCTGAAGTCCCCATATTGATTGGCTTCTTCTCTTACACCGTCTGTCTTTATCTTTTTATAAATATTAACCTTTCCCTTGTTCTTATTGTAAACATTATACTTTATAGGATTGTACAAAAAAAAACTTTTAGATTTTAGATTTTTCAAGTATTAAATAGAAAATTGAAAAGCTGTTGTAAAATATAGATAATTGAAAAGAGTTATATTTTATTTAATTCACTAATTTTTGATTCATATAATGTAGAAGCAATATTCTTAAGATTAAAATTCTAATAATTTATTTAAGTATTTTTATAGTTATTAAATAATATAAGTACTCTATAATATATATTATATATTTTATTATAATTTATAGGTGTAATATTATAATATTTAAATTCTTAATTATTAGTCATATGTATTTTGTAGTTTTTTTTAAATATATCTAATTAAAATGCCAAATCGAAATTAGAAAATTACCTTAAGATTGAAAAACTGGTCAAAAATTCAACAGACTTTTGAATGTTTCGGAAAATATCAGAAAACTGAACGAATTCAATTTTATGTTATTATTCCAATAGTTAAAAATTATTATTTGTATACGTGTAATTTTGCTTTGTCACAAAAAAAAAAAAAAACATCCCGCCAGCCTAAATTATTAGCGAAACATCACGCAAGCGCTGCAGATGATACGGTTCTGATTGGTCGACGCGTTGTGAAATGTACGAAACCACCGACAATATTATTTTGTCAAATCGCGCGCCTTATTTAATCTTCACAAACACACGACGTCCTATTTACGCGGGTGTGCTGATGCTTCGGGGCCGGGTATCCAACCAGCCGAAAGGCACCAGGTATAATATTACACATTATTATTACAAAATATTATGTTTAAATAAATTAATATTA